CTTGTGCAATTGTAGCAGATTGGTAATTCTACCTGAACTGGGTCAGCTGCCTTTGGTGAGTGATGCTGTCCAAGAAGACATCCTAAGCTGGGGCCAGCAGTGGCTGCCCCCCTTCCCTGGTGTGGGGAGCCAGAAACCCCTCCAGCCTTGCTCCTCAGGCTCACTACAGACTTAATACCATGTGGACACTGCCAAGTCTTACTGCTTATGCGCTCTGTGTGGTGGGATGAGCTATATCTGGGCCTGCTCTAGCTACAGCAAGGTGACCAAGGAGCACTGTGCTAGGATGAGAAGAGCAGAGCCCCAAGTGGCCCTGAGCCTGCAAAGGGTGCCCCAAGGCCACCTCATAAACCGCTCTGCCCTTCTAGAGTGAGGGCCTGTGATAGGAAAGGCAGCCTCAAAGGTCCTGCAAATACCTCAGGTGCTTTCCTGTTGTCTTTTTTTTTTATTTTTTTTGGCTGGGGCTGGGTTTTTGAACCTGCCACCTCTAGCATATGGGGCCAGTGCCCTACTCCTTTGAGCTACAGGCGCCACACGCTTTCCTGTTGTTTTTGAACAGCACTAGGCTTCTCTCTATCCAGCCTAACAGCTCCAGGCTAATTGCTTCAGTCTCTGGAATTGTGAACCAAATAAACTTCCCCAGAAAGCACCCAGTCTGTGGTATTCTGTCATAGCAGCAAAACAATGGACACCCCCTATCCCAGGATTCCCATCATGCAGTTAGCAGATGCTCCTGGTCTTCCCATGGTGGCCTCAAAGGCTGACCTGGGACCACATCTTGGTGCAGGTGAGGAAATAGGGTTCTGCTGTTTGCAACTAAACCCTGGAAAGAGATTTAGGGTGGTGTCTGGGCCACGAGTGAGCAGGGGGGAAGTGGCCCAGGAGGCCACTTGGGCCCCAGAAAGCTCTGTAAGCATCGAGTTGAACACGTGCACATGTGCATTAGCAATTGGGACAGAGTGGGCTGAAGCCTGGCTGGCAGGTATCTTGGCACTGTTGGTTTGACCCCTCCAAGCACCTCACCGTTTACATGGCCAGGCTGCAAATTTCCCAACTCTTCCTATTCTGCTTCTCTTTCAATTATAAATCCCATATTAAAGTCATTTCCCCCTCTCATGTCGCACTGTATGAGGTTAAAAACAGTCAGACAGCAGCTCAGCACTCCTTGGGTATTCATTTCTTCTGCCAAATATTCTAGGTATCGTCCTAAGTTCTGCCTTCCACACAGACACAATTCCACTGAGTTCTTTGCAACTGCACTGCCATAAGGGCCTCACCCCAGCTTACAGAACCCTGTTCCTCATTTCTGTCTGAGACCTCCTCAGAAGGGTCTTCAATGGCTATATTTCTATCTGGTAGAAATAGAAATAGTGGTCATGACCACTCAAGTAATGTCTAAGAATTTCTTAACATCGCCTAGACCTCTCCTCTTCTGAGCCCTCACCAAAATCGCCCTTAATGCTCCATTCATGGTGGTCTAGGATTTTTCTAACCTTCTCCTCCAAATTCTTCCAGCTTCTACCCTTACCCAGGTGCAAAGCCATCTCCACATTTTCAGGTATTTGTTACAGCATCAGCCCCATTTCTTGGTACCAATTTTCTGTCGTAGTCTGTTTTCTGCTGTTCTAACAGAAAACCACAGATAGGATAATTTAAGAAGAAAAGAAGATTATTTGGCTTGTGGTTTTGAAAACAAGGAAGGGCAAGAGCACGACACCAGCATGAGGTGAGGATCTTCCACGTAGAAAGGCAAGGAAGTGGACCAGACCAAGAAAGGGTGGGGGGCCAAACGTCACCCTTTTATCAGGAACCCCTCCTGCGGTAACAGCATTAGTCCATTCACAAAGGCAGAGCCCTCATGACCTTATCGCCTCTTAAAGGTACTAACATTTAATACTGTCACAATGGCATTTGCTTCAAAGTGAAGTTTGGAGGAGACATTGGAACTACAGCTAGCAGGGGAGCGTTTCCTCCACAGCACTCCCACCCCCTGGTGTCACAGGCCCTCACACCTGGTGCTACTACTGTGTTCCCATCATTTATTTTCCAAATTGAACTAACAGGAGAGGGTTCTGCTGTTTGCAACCAAAACCTGAGTAGGATTTAGGAGTTAAAGTGGGGTCTGGGCTGGATTGGGCATCAGATAATAGGAGGGAGCTGTCCATGAGGAGACTTGGGTCCACAGAAAGCTCTGCAAGCATCAACTTGAACATGCACATGTATTTATTAGCAATCAGGACAGAGGGAACTGGGGTCTGTCCAGCAGGTGGTCCTTACCCAGATGCTGGAGTGCCCATAGTCCAGGAGGAGTGTGCCAAGGCTGTGGTACCCACTGCAACTTCACCATCTCTGATGGATTCAGACCAGTTGTAGAAGTTGGGGGGACCACAGCAGAGCGAGGAGCAGCAGTAACCTGGAAGGATCCAGTCTGGGTGTACTGTAAGACGTGAGTTTCTGGATCCAGTCGAAGTACACACTGATGTTGGTGTAGATACCGGGCCGGTTGGGCCGACCACAGCCCATTCCCCAGCTCACGATTCCAACCTGATACCACAGTCCATCCTTGTCACAGACCAAGGGTCCACCAGAGTCACCCTGGGGAAAAGTATAGGTGAGACCAGCCTGGAGCAGGGTCAGTGAGCAGAGGAGGGATTGGGAGAGCAGAATGGGTTGTGGGGCTGGGCACAAATCCCATGCCTCCCCTGGCAGTGAGCAAGCCTCAGTTTCCGCATCTGCAAAGTGGGGCAATATCCTCCTAGGTTTGGCAGGATGATCAGAAGAGGTACAATTTATGTGAAATGAAGAGCCTGTTTTATAGTGTTGGTAAATAAAGACTGCAAATTTTTCCTCAAAAATAACTCCCAAGGGTATATGGGTACATGGGGTTGCTCCCAGGCCCTGGGGTTGGGGAAGGTGGGATTCTCTGGTGGGGTACAGGCACTCACTTTGCAGGTGTCTACACTGCCATCCTCAGCACCAGCACAAATCATAGAATCTTGGATTACACTGCGGTCTGAAGGTTGTTTGAACAGGTAGTTACACCTGGTGTTATTTAAGATGGTGACCTTAACTTCCTGGAGGTTGTATGGAGGAGGAAGATATGCTGAGGAAGGAGAAAGAAAGACAGCAACGTTGGCCTCTCCTCTGACATCTGGGGCAGAGGTAAGGGGAAGGTCCCATGTTATACTGGTGGAGGAGTCCTTGGCACATCCATGGTGCCTGGGTATTGCTCTTGATGACTCCCTAGCACCCAGCATGACATGGGCAATTAATAATATCATAGAAGGGACCTCACCTATTATGCACAATGCAATGGTACATTTCAAAACTAGTAAGAGTAAAGTATAGGGCGGCACCTGTGGCTCAGTGAGTAGGGTGCTGGCCCCATATACCGAGGGTGATGGGTTTGAACCCAGCCCCGGCCAAACTGCAACAACAAAAAAGCCAGGCACTGTGGTAGGTGCTTGTAGTCCCAGCTACTTAGGAGGCTGAGGCAAGAGAATTGCCTAGGCCCAAGAGCTGGAGGTTGCTGTGAGCTGTGACACCACAGCACTCTACCGAGGGTGACAAAGTAAGACTCTGTCTCTTAAAAAAAAAAAAAAGAGTAGAGTATAAATGTCTTACCACAACAAATAAGTGAGGTGATGATTATGTTAATCATTTGATGCAAGCATTCCATATTGTATATCATATCAGCACATTGTACCCCATAAATGTACACAGTTATGAGTTAATAAAAATAAAATAATATCATAGAAGGAATGGGCAGGCATTATAGCTCTCGCCAGACTGGGTTTCCCTATTTAAAGAGTGAATATAACAGTCCCTGCCTGGGCCAGTGGAGAGATTCCTTAGCCAAAGGGTGACGCAGGGAGGGGCTCAGATGGATGAGAATGTTTATATTTAATATCCTACAGCTATAGGATTTAGGCGAAAGCTTGCCAAATTTGATGAAAGACATGAATTATAGATTCAAGAACCCGAGCTAACTGAGACACATCATAAACAAACTAGCAAAGACAAAGAGAGAATCTGGTAAATAGTAGGAGAGAAACAATTCATCAAGAACTAGGAATTGTCAAAAGATTAATGGCTAATTTCTTTTCAGAATCCATGGAACCCACCAGGCAGTGGGATGATATACTTAAAGTGCCAAAGGAAAGAAATAACCAAGAATTGTCTATCAGTCAAACCATCCTTCAATACAATGAAGGCGAGATTAATATACTCTCAGAGTTTGCCACTAGTAGACCTGTCCTACAAGAAAACAGAAAAGGAGTCCGTCAGGCCGAAATGAAAGGACACCAATTGATAATTAAAAGTCATGCAAAGAAATAAAGAGCTCTGCTAAAGGTCAGTAACATAAAAGTCAGTACTATTACATATTTTATTTATAATTTCTTTCTTTTCCTAAACAATTTAAAAGACAGATGTATAAAACAATAAGCAGAATCTATGTTTATGGTTATACACTAAACAAAGATGTAAATTATAACAATAACAACATAGCGTGAAGAAAGGGAGCTGTATAGGAACAGAGATTTTTGTATACTCTTGAGCTAAGTTGGTATGAATAGATCATTATAGAAAATAGATCATTATAAATTTAAGGTCTTAATTCTAACCCATAGGGCAACTGCTAAAGACACTAACTAAAATATATACAGAAAAGGAAATGAGCAGGGAATCAGTATGGCACACTAAAAAAATAAGTTAAATGCAAAATTATATAAGACAAGCTATAGAAAACAAATAACAAAATGTTAGAGGTAGTACTTTCTGGATCAGTCATTACTCTTCATATAAACGGATAAAATGCACCAAACGAAAAGCAGAGACTGGCAAAATGGCCTAAAACACAAGATCCAGCTCTAGGCCAGCCAGAAGAGATTCATTTCAGATCCAAAGGCATCACATACTGAAAGTGAAAAATCAGAAAAAAGAGATTCTATGCAAATCGTAACCAAAAGAGGGCTGAAGTTGCCAATATCAAAAATATCAGACAAAATAGGCTTTAAATAAAACTTTTGGGCAAGTGTAAGAACAACATTAAATATTGATGAGTCAAATCATAAAGAAAATATGACAATATAGACATTTATGTATCTAACAACATAGCTACAAAATATATGAAGCAAAATTAATGAAATTGGTGGGAGAGATAGATAGTTTTATAGTAATATGGGATACTTCAATATCCCACTTTT